GGACATTATATTATAAGGCTTATAAATTTTATTTATGTTACACAGTAGAGGTGATTTTATGTGTTTACTTAGTTATATAGGGAAAGCACAGCAATACTTTTTTTAAAATTACATTTATCATTGGTTGTGGGAAAACAATTTTTTTTGCAGCCATCCTGAATAGTCACTGTTATTTGAACATTATACTTTTGGCTTGTACACATATAGGTATCTTTTAACTATTTCAAATTATTTGGTACACATATATTGGTTTTCTTAGATACACTTAACCACAAAGGTTAACCCGATCTCTTATAATTGTCTCTACTTAACCAAAAGGGTTAACATGGCTTCACTCCCCATTTATATTTCTTTTCCATACACCATTGTGACAACTGGGCCCCACCCTCAGATTACCTTTTTTCCAGTAAATGACTCAGTCACTTTTCTTTGTAACAAAAGTCCTTTTACTTAGTAGACTTATAAAATGAACATGTATACATCCACAGAAAAATTAGTGCATAGTCCTGTTCATACACATGCAATCGCACAAGATTAATTTAGCTACAATATTTTGCTGTGCTGGTTTTAGTTATGCTGTCCCGGGCGGTACTTAGAATGAATAGGACATAAATAAATGGTTCATACCTCAAAGTGAAGAAATCCAACAAAGTCTGCTAGGAAAGGTCACCCACAGTACGGGTTCCATTGGAGGGGGTTGTGGCCTGAAGAAAAGCCACATGATAACACTGGTCCTCACCGTTTGCTTGCCACACCAGACTCCCTCCCACGAGGTTGGCTCCTCTGCATTTATGTCCATCACAAGGTGAAGTGACACAGGTGTATGGAAAACTATGTCACAATTGACCCGACACCCCCAAGCATAACCTGAAAACCTTATACTACACACAGAACACATCAACAAAAAATGTTCTCAAACTTAAAGTAGGCACCCACCTATGAAGTATGTAACCAATAGAAAAGACAAAGGCAGTTTGCCCCAGCTTTTTTGCAAGTACAACTATACTTTAAGCAGGTTGGAAAGCACATAACATGAAAGTAACAACACTCTCTTTAGATAGTGATATATCATGACAAAGCTATCAGCAGATTGAGGCCCCAAGTATGACATGGGTCAGAACTTGCAGGTTCCAAGGTCTCACAACTGAGCAATTTGTAACTGATGGATGTCCTTTTTGGCAAATTGTGATATTTGTTGTTTATGTTGTTGGCAGTTGATTGTTGCCCTGAGTCTTTATACTGTAGTATTCAACACCAGTGAGTCAACAGAGTACAACCAGACTGGTCATACCTTAAAGAAAACCAGTACATAAAAAAATATGTAGGTGGTCATAGTTGAACTATTTTCAAAATAAAGCTTAAAAGCCTGGCTGTCTTGCCTATCTTCTGACAAGAACATCTTTCTAATTCCTTGACAACAACATTAAAGAAGTTAGAACTCCTGATTAATAATGAGCTCAGGGTTAGACCAAACCTGGAAGGAAGCTGTTACTCTTGCTCACTGCAATCCAATCAACTGCGGCCAGTGCATCCAACTCCACGCAACTGTATGTACACAAAAGGGCAGGGATATTTGTGACATCATTAGCCTAATATGGCCACATGTTGCATAAATCACAAGACAAGGCTGAACTGCAAATACTTTGGCAGGGAAAATAATGTACATATAAATAGTTATGTATGTAAAAGCATACTTAGTTTGCTTTAGGGGCATACTACAAGTTTACACAGGAGAAAACAAAACAGAAAAGGATATATGAAGATGCGCTATTCTATTTGTACTGTATGTATGTGTAGCACCCTCTGGTGTACATAGTTGTTTAGTCTAGTTAGAGAGGCTTGCTAGAAGACTGGGTTTAGTTAGAGGGTTTACTTCAAGTCAAGGCTGGAGGGCTCTACAGGTCAGTCCTTTGGTACCTCCCCCTGCTCTAGGAGGCCTGGCAGTGTGGCAGACCAGCCCATAAATATGATGGATCCTGGCCAGCAGGGGAGTCAGGTGGACTATGAAGTGCTGACAGGTGCTGCTGTGTAGCCTTGCTTCCAGAATGGAGGCTGGAAGCTGGACGAGGAAAATTGAAAGAGGGAGCTCTACTGCCCTGTAGTCCAGGGAAGGACAGCCTGCCAAGCTTGGAGAGGAACCGGCCCAGCTACAGAGGCCTAAAAGCAGTTCTATCCATAGCTGCAGGACAAGCACAGTGTGAGTACCTCTACACCCCCAGGGCCTAGAAGGAAGAAGTCTGCTGGATGAAAGTTCTGGCAAGTTTTCAGGGAACAATGCATAGCTTACCCAATCCCTTGTCCTGAGATCAAATACCTTAGCCAGGTGGGCTTGTATTTTTTGAACACTTAGGGGACTTAGAGCTCCTACAAGTTGAGACTGCTAAAATCCATTTTAGGGGACTCAGAGCTCCTGAAAGTTGCTTTACTTTGCTAAGAGAGACTGTCAGGATTCCAGTTGGACCACAATCATTAATCTGCCATTGTTGTAGCATCCAAGTTAAATTCCCCAATAAAACTAAAAACACCAAGCCCATTGACTGTTTCTTGCTTCTGGATGCAAGTTGAAAATGTATGTTGCAAAATATGCAACTCTCAAGAGGGTAGCACTACTCATGGGGGCTTGTCTGGGATCCCCTTATAACAACCTGCATGGCAGTTGCCCATAGCAACCTTCTTTAAGGAACTGGAGAGAGGTTGCAAAACCCTAGACAAACGAGCCAGAGAGGAAACGAGCCAGAGATGAGACATTATGTTGAGCTACCTGCTGTTTGGAACTGTGTATCTTGCCAAAGTATGCCGCTACTTGTGCTGTTGCCCGTAATCGGTATGTTGTTTTAGTTTACTAAAGCCCATTCATTCTAAAAACAAATGTTAAAATCAAATTAAATCTTTTGTAAAACAATCGAATGTTCTGAGAATGCTTGCATAAATTTTACTAAGACTTTGAATCTTTGTTAAAAAATTTGTTCTATCCATCTATGATCAGCTTTACTTTTTGTTTGATCATTTGGCTGACTACTTGTCCTTTTGACAGTTGTGCTCCTGAAGTTCCTCCATTAGCAGCCCCTGTAGTTATGTCATTATGTGTACACAGTACCATTACTGTAGTGAGCAATGTGATTCTGAAGGTACACATGCACAGTTGCTTTAAAGGTATAGCCAGTCATACTAATTATTTTTTAAATTAATGAATTTAATTTTCTATAGCAATTTTCTCTCTGGGGACTCTAATAGCTTTATCTGCTTTTGGAACAGATGGTAAGACAGCCATCTTGGGGGCACTAAGTAGAATATTATATTAGGGCAATTTTAGAGAGTTGCTATTTAACCTAACAGCATGTCTTTGGAGTGTGGGAGAAAACCGGAACACTCATGCAAGCACAGGCCCCCAGGCCATTTGTTCGTGTACAAACTTCATGCAGATAGTGTCCTGACCAGGACTCAAACCAAGAACCCCAGTGCTGCAAAGCACAAGAGCTAATGATTATACCTTGTGATGCACTAGTAATTCAAATGATGTGAATAATTTTGTAGTTTTAGGTGTTTTCACTCAGTTTTCAGTTTTCCTGGTGACCTTTAGCAGGATCCACAGTGAAGCCTTGTTTCACTGATTCTCCAAAAAAAAAAAAAAAAAAAAAAATAGATAAACACAAACCTCTTGATGGCATCATATGGGGGAATTACTATGCACAGGGAACTGCTCTCACTCCATAATGACATATTCACTGACATCATTATCATTAATCACAGACGATTGCGACAGTTACTATTTCACTGCTCACTGCTAGATGTTTGGCTTCCTACTTCTTTCTCAATGCCCTAATATTATTATCATTTACCCCTGTCACAGTTAAAACTTTTGATACCTGTCAGTGTTCAGTGAACACTGCTAGTCAGAACCTCTTCTCACTTCTTACTTATACAGGGTTGATGACATTTTTGCTGTTACGCAGAGAAACAATTGTACTGCATGGTATGAACAACCATATGCACAGAATCCATAATTCAAAAATTTTCTTAAAATGCTACTGACCATGATCAACTTTTTTTTTCTGATATTATAGCAAGTCTTGATTAATTTTGGTGCTATTCTACAAGGTTCCAGAACTAGAGTAAGGCATTCTTTTCACATGGTATCTTGTTATTTTCAGAGTGCTGTAAATGTAGAAAAAAAAGTAACAGTGCTGTGCTGGCCACAGAAGTTACAATCTGATTCGTACAATCTTATTTACTGTTGTTCACCATATACCCAAAAACTTGGGACGCTGTGTAAATCTACATAAAAACAGAATGCAGTGATTAGCAAATCTCATAAACCCATATTTTATTCACAAAAGAAAAAGAGAAAACATATCAACTGTTTAAACTGAGACAATGTGACATTTTAAGAAAAAAATATGGTCGTTTTCAAATTGATAACAGCAACACATCTCACAAAAGTTAGGATAGGGCAATGTTTACCACAGTGTAGCATCTTCTCTTTGTTTAACCACTACCCTACCGGGCACTTACACCCCCTTCCTGTCCAGGCCAATTTTCAGCTTTCAGTGCTGTCGCACTTTGAATGACAATTGCGCGGTCATGCAACACTGTACCCATATGAAATTTTTATAATTTTTTTGAGACAGATAGAGTTTTCTTTTTGTGGTATTTAATCACCTCTGGGTTTTTTATTTTTTGCTAAACAACCCAAAAACAACTGAAAATGTAAAAAAAAAAGTTTTTTTTCTTAGTTTTTGTTTTAAAATTTTGTAAATAAGTGATTTTTCTCCTTCACTGATATGCGCTAATGAGGCTGCAGTGATGGGCACTGATAGGTGGCACTGATGGGCACTGATAGGTGGCATTGATGAGGAGGCACTGGTAGGTGGCACTGATGGGCATTGGCAGGCATCATTGATGGGCACCGAAAGGCAGCACTCATACATGGCACTGATAGGAGGTACTGACTGGCACTGATAGGCGGCACTGACTGGCACTGATAGGTGGCCACTGACTGGCACTGTTAGGTGGCACTGATAGGCAGCACTGATGTGCACTGATTGTCGGCACTGATAGGCGGCACTGACTGGCATCGGCGGCACTGATTGGCAGCACTGATAGGTGGCACTGACTGGACAGATAGATGACTCTGAAAGGCAGCTCAGATGGGCACTGATATGTGGCATTGATGTGCACTGGCAGGCACTGATATGTGGCATTGATGTGGCACTGATGGGCACTGGCAGGTGGCACTGATGAGTACTGACAGCTGGCATTGATGGACACTGACAGGTGGCACTGCTGGGGCTACAATGATCATCAGGGCACACTGATCATCAGTGCCCTGATGATCAGTGTACATGTCCCCTCTGAGGAATGCCGATTACCGGCTCTCCTCTCCTCTCAAGCTGTCAGCGTGACAGCTTGTGAGGAGAGAAATGCTGATAACCGGCATTTCCCTATTTACATGTGATCAGCTCTGATTGGGCACAGCTGATCACATGACTGAGCCAAAATCTTCTGCTCTTTCCGTTGATCGGTGATCCGCTGTGTCCAAGGGACACAGCGCACTGCTGTTTGCCGCGCTGCGCGCGCGCTCCTGGAGCCGCGCATGCACAGTTAGAATAAGGAGGACGTCATATGATGTCCTCCCAGAACGAGAGAACCACCTTGCGCCCGTCATTGTACTATATAGCAGACGGGAGGCGGTTAACAACACCCTGTAAATGTCTGGGAACTGAGGGGACCAGTTGCTGGAGTTTTGGGAGAGGAATGTTGTCCCATTCTTGCCTGATACAGGATTCTAACTGTTCAACAGTCCTGGGTCTTTTTGTTGTATTTTTCATTTCAAGATGCACCAAATATTTTCATTTGGTAAAAGGTCTGGTCTGCGGACAGACCAGTTAAGCACCAGGATTCTTCTACTGCGAAGTGATGCTGTTGTCATAGATGCAGTATGTGGTTTAACATTGTCCTGCTGAAATATGCAAGACCTTCTCTGAAAAATATATTGTCTGGATGTAGCATTTTCTGCACTAAAACCTGGATATATCTTTCAGCATTGATGGTGTTTTTCCAGATATGCAAGCTTCCCATTCCATGTGCCCTAATGCACCCCATACCATCAGAGATGCAGGCTTTTGAACTGAGAGCTGAAAACAAGCAGGAAGGTCCATCTGCTCTTTAGTCTGGAGGATGCGACGCCCATAGTTGCCAAAAAGAATGTAAAATTTCAATTCATCTGACCACAGAACAGTTTTCCACTTTGCAACAGACCATTTAAAATGAGCTTTGACCCAGAAAAGGTGGCATTTCTGGATCATGTTCAGATATGGAATAAAAAGACCTTTTAAAGCGGATGTCCAGTCAAAATAAAAACAAATAAAAAGTCAGCGGCTGTAAAATGAGCTTGCTGCTTCACAGCAGGGTGCCCACATTTCTGTAGTGCTGAATTGAACATGCGACCTGTCACATGTCCCAGAAGACTACAGGGAGGGAGGGGGAGGGCAGCTTCCACTTCCGATCACCTAGGCGTCTGCAGCGGAAGTGAGAGCGGGTACATGTCAATTCGGGTACCCCCCACTCCCAAAGGTGCCAATCCTTAACGGGGAGCGAGGGGCAAAACTTTAAAGCGGAACTTACCCTTTTGGGTGGAGCTCCACTTTAACTTGCATTTTGGATGTGTTTCATGTGTTCACAGACAATGTTTTCTTAGAAGTATTCTGGAGCCCATGCAGTGATGATCACAGGCATCCACTATTGCTTTTTGGCCTTGTCCCTTGCGCAGATATTTCTCCAGATTCTCTAATTTTTTTGATGAAGTCTTTGCAATTTTACATTGAGGAACATTAAATTGTTTTACAATTTTTAGATGCAGCTTTTCACATATTGGTGAACTTCTGTCCATCTTTATTTCTGAGACACTATGACTCTTCAAGATGCTCTTTTTATACCCAATCATGTTACTGACCTATTGCCAATTAATCTAATTAGTTTCAAAATATTCTTCCAGCTCTTCCTTGTTAGTACCACTTACTTTGTCAGCTTTTTGTTGCCATGTTCCAACTTTTTTGAGTCGTGTTGTTTCCATCAATTTCAAAATTACTTTATTTTTTTCTTAAAATGGTACATTTTCTTAGTTTAAACATTTGATGTTTTTTATTCTCTATTGTGAAAAAAAACATGGGTTTATGAGATTCGTAGAGCAAAGGCCTATCTAAATGAATAAAATACTTGTTTTTTTTTAGGGAGGCTCCAAGACAATTTAAAAGAGAGTGTACAGATATCACACAGATAGTTATGTGTGTGACCAGCTCTGACTGGTTCGGTTTCTCTGTTTGAAACAGTATTTTGAAGGCTGACATGCAGATTGTGACTTTTTCTCTTTACTCTGTATGATATGTTTTAGAGTTGTGACTTTTCCTTAGAGTTACATTGCCTTGAAAATGAAATTCCATATTTATAGGAAGGGTTTGCCTTAAGAAAAGCTGATAGAGATGAGGCTTTGTCTCCTCCCCATTTTCTGGGTGCATTAAAGTAGCAGCATATTTGTGTGCCGTGTCTATTGTGCAGCACTGGTTTGGTGCATAATTCATAAGGCAGTGTTAACACATAGGTCATCCGCTGTTCACCAGCAGTGGTCTATAGCTATCACTCTTCATTATGGTAATGCTCCTTGTAACAGAGAGGATTATATGACTCACATGATCCTCATAGTTACTGAAGTGGCAGAAGACTTTAGAAGGTGAAGAAATGTTTCTCCAGCAGTGGGAATGTTCTCCTGTCAGCTTTTTATTAGTTACTGTTCCTATAAACTTTTTTTTGTATTTTCCTCTTCTCAGTTTGTTAAAACATATCACTCCCAACTATATCACTTTAATTTTTAAATCACTCAATAGACATATCTTTTAATCATGAATCTATTTATCTGTGAGTGATTGTATAATAATAATAATATTGCAACCCTTTCCAGACCTTCCAGATCAGGTTTACTGGTCCTCTAGGGCCCATTCACATCAGTGCATTAACTCAAATAGAGAGCAGATTATGTACTGTGGTGCAGTGACATTAATTTTTTAATGGCACCCCGATGTACATACACAATTCACTGTAACATAATTGCATTGCATTTTTAAAAAGTAACACACATGATTTTGGGTGCATTGCAGCATATTTAAAATTATTGTGCGGCTTAATACAACACAAAATGCTTGAAATCAAAATATATTTAACACACATGTGAATGGGCCATTAAGACCAGTACAAAATGGACAATTACATTTATTTGTTACTGAGAGATTTAACCTCTTGGGTACAGTTACCTGAAATAAATGTGCAACCGATGAGATGATTGTCAAGAAGGACAGCAGCATAAATCAGTGCAACCCTAAACTAAATCAGTGTTTCTTAACTCCAGTTTTCAGTTCTTTTCCATGCTTTCAAGATTTCATGTCAAATGAACAGTGATAACTGGTTAAGGCACCACAGAAATTGAGACCTGTTGTGGGTAGCTGCACCTATGAATTATGAAACACGGCTTATAAAACAACTTAAAAAATGGGTACCTGCAAAATTACTGTGCATATTTAGCTACATCCACAGGAAACGTTTAGATTTATTTTATTGTAGCACCCAGGGGCGGACTGACAATTCATGGGGCCCCCGGGCAATAGGGATCATGAAGGAACAAACTCAAAAAAGCCTATGAAAAAGGTACCGGGGCATCTCATGGGGCCCCCTACTGACCCTGGGCCCTCGGGCAGTGCCTGAGTTTCCAAATGGTCAGTCCGCCCCTGGTAGCACCACTCCCGCAGGAGCCGCTTAGTAACTTTGAGTTCTCTGTTCTGTGCCTCAACTCCAAGAACAACCTCGGCCCCTCTGACACACCTGGTTGATTAAAAATCACTGTAAGCATGGATAAATACACAAGTTTAAAATACCTTTAACCTGGCTGTGGGTTATTACCAGAAAATAGACACACACCCGTTTAGTGGTAAATGCGCTTAATCTAATGATATGGGTTAGGATATACAGCAAATTGAACATAAATGAGCATACAGCTGATTGCTTATAACACAGTCTGCTAGACAGAGCAATAACTATGTTAAATTGCTAAAAATTAGATTTTATACCCCTAACTAGGATCAGAAGGGTAAGTAAATAAGCAATAAACAATATTAGTAAATGTTAAATGCTATATAAATGATGATAATGCTATATTAGGTTAGAGTGCACTCTTAGGGAATGGTAGGAATACAGCGTCACTTAAGAGGTAGTGTACCTCTTTAAGTAAAAAAAAAAAACAGGCTACGGGGCAGCTACTGTTAGGGGCTGTCTTTAGTCTTGACTGAACTAAAGTCTAAACTTTGGGGGCCAGTCAAAGGCAGTCAAATAAGACCTACAGGCTTTATTAGAACTATGGAGTATCTGTAAGGTAGTCCTAATGGCTCAGTCACTAATGGTGGTAACAAGTAGTGGCCACAATGCCTTTTCACCAGATCAGACCCAGCAACACAGCAGCAATGGTCTTTCTGATAGGGTATCCACTCACTCTTGGTTGCTCATGATGTATCTAGTAGGTAACTTTGTCCCTCTGTACTTGGGTCACGCTCTGTACCCTCTGGCTGTCCTTCACATGTCTGTGGGCTCCTGCTGACAAAGGCTATTTCTCTGTTAGGTGGAGTTTTTTGACTCTTGTCACATCACTCTGAGGAGAATCCACATATGACACAGGCTCATTAGGTGGAGTTCCTTGACATGGGCCTGTCACTCTGCTGTCACACTAAAGAGAATCCTTTTTCTGGAATCCCCTGGTTCTCTCCTCCTTACTGCTGATTGGTCCATTGCTGTTGCTAGGAGAGGGGGAAGACACACAGTCCTCATTTGTTAAACTCTCTGCTTCTCACAGGAGGGGGGAAGGGCAGAGACCCAGCTTCACACTCCACTCACCAAAGAACATTTGTTCCCCAAAGGAAAGACAGAGTCTATTTATATAAAGGTCCATAACTTTAAATTTACTTAGAATAACAACTAAAAATATATTTAAGTCATTATCTACTCATAACGATTCACATTAGCATAGTAATCAGCCAAAGGAACGTCTTACCATTTGTCAGAAGAGGCAAGGTTGTCTTGTCCAAAAGCCACCAATGTTGGGATGGTCCACCTAGATGTGCCAGGGGGTGAGTTGGAGTCACTGTGAGTACTTTGAGAGGTGAAAATTACTTCCTCTGAACTTTCACCTAAGGTATCGCAAGTCACTCTTTTACGGGGGCAAATTGTTCACTTTTCTCTTTGGGCTCAGGTGGTTCTGGTAACATCGACCTCTTCCTCTGATGCTATAGAATGTTGAGAGGCTTCTGTGTCCTCTGCAGGAAAAAAAATCAGGGTGTTTGCTTGGCTTGCCAAAGTTTGGCTCTGTGATACTGTATGAATTCTGGAGCCTCAGGCCTGAGGGTTCCAGTATCTGTCTACCTAGAAAAAGGAGTGGCAATCTCTGATTGTGTAGACGGCCACAACCAGCCTATGCCCATTTCTCATTCCTCACTGTCCTTTTCATCTGTGTTTGGTGGCATAG